TGTGTGTGTGTGTGGGTGTGTGTGAACCTGTACCCCAGTGAGAGTCTGTGTTGAAGCCTGTACACCAGAGAGAGACAGACAGAGAAGGAGAGAGAGAGAGAGACAGAAGGGAGACAGAGAAGGGGACAGAGTGTCGGGGAGCGAGAGAGGGAAAGAGAGGGGAAGAGATAGGGAAGCGGAGAGGGGTAGGGATAGACAGGGTGAAGAGAGAGACAGAGAGGGGGAGGGATGGAGAGAGAGAGACACAGAGATGGGGAGAGAGATAGAGAGGGTGAAGAGAGGAGCACGGAGAGTGGGGGAGATAGCGATGGCCAGAAAGGGGGATGGAGAGAGCAAGAGACAGAGAAAAGCAGAGAGAGAGATAGAGTGAGAGCAAGGTGGAGTTGGAGAAAGAGAGAGAGACAGAGTCAGAGAGAGAGGGGAAGAAGAGGGTTACAGCGACAGAGTGTGGGGTTAGCTGGAGGGGGTTAATTGCGTTGTCTCGGGTGTTGTGAAAGTGGGGTTTTTTTGGGATCTTCCTTACCTGAGGGACCAGGTTTTTGAAGCTGGCGATGATATTAGTGCTTTTGAATTCCTGGTAATATCCGAAACAGCCTGTAACCACGACCACAGCGATCAGTGTGACAGCGAGATAGAGCTGGGAGCATGGAGATCAGAGATCAGTCAACACCAGGGACAGAGCAGGCAGCTAATACCCTCACTCTGCACAGCATTTACCCCTCACTCAGACCAATTACCCCTTACCCCAGCATCTACCCCTCAATCAGATCCAACAGCCCTCAGTCATCTCAAATACCCCAATCCCACCATTAAAAACCCCTCAATCCCCACCCCCTCCCTCCATTCCCACTCCCTCCCTCCATCTTCCCCCCCTCCCCCCATCTCCCAATCCCCATCCACTCCCTCCATCCCCACCACATTCTCGCTCCCACCCCTCCCCCTCCCCCCCCCCTCTCCCTCCCACCCCCCCACCTCCATTCCATCCCCACCCTCTCCATTCCATCCCTACCCTCTCCCTCCATCCCCACACCCCCTGTCCGTGTCTCCCTCACTGCCCCAGCCAATCCCATGGACACTCACATCATCGTAACCAGAGAGGTTCCCTCGGGCTGTTTCGATTCCGAAGGCGATGAAGCAGATGACAGATGCCACCCACATCAGACACTGAAGCCCCCCAGCCAACTGGCGAGCGAACTTCACATACTCGGGAGTACCCTTGGGGGGTTTCAGCTCATTGAGTCCATCCCTCAACAGCACCTCCTGGGCCTTGGCATTGCTCAGACCCTGGGGTCACAGACAGACAGAACATTCAGGAGCGATGGAGCTAGACATCGGTAAGGTCAGTCACTCACACACAGCCATGCTGAAAATGTCTCACAGATTGACTATCTCCAAAAAGGACACATTCCAACCATCACCCCTTTGGCATTTAATGGCATCACCGGCACTGAAATTGCATTATTATCAACATCCCGTATCCCTGTGTGTGTGTGTGTCTGTGTGTGTGTGACTGACCTTACCGATGTCTAGCTCCATCGCTCCTAATTTTTCTGTCTGCCTCTGCCCCCAGGTTC